TTTGGAACGAAGGGATTTGAAGTATGAAGATCGACCAGATATTATGTGTCGTGTATTTAAAATGAAATTAGATGCTTTGATTAAAGAACTACGGTCTGGCACTATTTTTGGGAAAACTGTCGCTGGTATGTGTTCGTAAAATTGCTTTAATATGTTTTTTTATGTTTATGGCGTTTGCTGATCTACTTATGTGATTTCTATTTTTTGCAGTCATCTATACAGTGGAATTCCAAAAGCGAGGCTTGCCGCATGCACATATTCTTCTCTTTGTTGACCGTGGTGCTGCTTTTAATTTTGCCTCGAATATTGATTCTCATCTCTGCAGAAATTCCAAATAAGGCTTACGATCCGGAATATTATAAAGTTGTGGGAGAGTTTATGATGCATGGTCCAGTGGTGTAGCAAACAAAAACTCTCCATGTATGGTTAAGGGGCGTTGTTCTAAACACTTTCCTAAGAAATTTATGGAATCTTCAATTCTTGATGGTGATGGGTATCCAATTTATAAGCGTAGATATGATGGTAATACAATCCTTAAAAGTGGTGTTGAATTGGATAATAGATTTGTTGTACCCCACAATAGATATTTATTAATGAAGTATAGAGCACACATCAATGTAGAATGGTGTAACCAATCTCGGTCGATCAAGTATTTGTTTAAATATGTGAACAAAGGTCATGATCGAGTTACAGCCCAGTTTTATAAGAGCACTGATTGTCACGAAAGTACTGAAGTTATAGATGAAATAAGTATGTACTATGATTGTCGGTACATTTCTCCTTGCGAGGCTTCGTGGCGTTTGTTTAGCTATGATATTCAGTTCCGCAATCCAGCAGTTGAACGCTTGAGCTTCCACTTGCCAAATGAACAAAACATTGTTTTTGATGACGATGCTACTGTAGAATCAGTTCTTGACAGGCAAACGGTGAAGAATAGCATGTTTTTGGCTTGGTTTGAAGCGAATAGGAGGTACCCCTATGCGCGACAATTGACTTACAAAGAGATGCCTAACGTTTTTGTGTGGAAAAAAAAAACATTCGTGAGTGGCAACCAAGGCAGAGGGGTTTTGCAATAGGTCGTATGTTTTATGTGCCACCTGGTAGTGGTGAAATTTTCTATCTTAGGTGTTTGTTAAATTTAGTTCGTGGCCCAAGATCTTTTCAAGACATACGTACTGTTGATGGTATTGAATACTCATCTTTTCGAGATGCATGTTATGCGCGTGGGTTGATATCTGACGAAAAGGAATATATTGATGCAATAGTCGAAGCAAGTCAATGGTCGACTGCTTCTACTCTCAGGAGGTTATTTGTTATTCTACTAACATCAAGTTCAATTTCCCATCCTGAGAAGGTTTTGGACGTTGTTTGGCCGCACTTGTGTGACGACGCAGAGTATAATCAGCGCAGAGTGTCTGCTATTCCAGGTAAAATGTCGCTATTTACGTACATAACTTAATTTTCTATAGTGCATATCATATTTTGTTTCCTACATTTTATATTTTTTTTCCAAAATTTTGATAATGTGAAACATAGTGCAGATTTGAGGTTGCCAGATGTTGAGAAACAAAACTACGGGCTGGTTGAATTAGAGAAGCTTTTGTCCGCATGGAGCAAGCGCTTGAGTGATTATCCGTGTATGCCTATACCTGACATGAGTTATTCAAATGCATCCCAGATTCGATTATTGGCTGAGGAATTGTCCTATGATTGCACGTTATTGGCTAAAGAACACGAGGCGTTGGTGCAGAAACTAACAGATGAACAACGACAAGTCTACGACACTGTCCTTGCTTCAGTTTCCAGTAATACAGGGGGGTGTTTTTCATCTATGGTTATGGTGGTACTGGGAAAACATTTGTATGGAAAACTTTATCCGCGGCATTACAATCAAAGCGTAAAATTGTTTTAAATGTTGCATCAAGTGGAATTGCTTCGTTACTCATGTCTGGTGGGCGCACTGCACACTCTCGATTTGCTATATCAATTGTTGTGAATGAGGATTCTACTTGCAATATATCGCAGGGGAGTGATCTAGCTGAGTTACTAATTCAATGTAGCTTAATTATCTGGGACGAAGCACCTATGATGCATAAGCATTGCTTTGAAGCTTTAGATAGGACTATGCGAGATTTGTTAAGATTTGCTAATCCATTAAGTTTAACCTTGCCATTTGGAGGGAAAACTGTTGTTCTGGGGGGTGACTTTAGGCAAATATTGCCAGTGATACCAAGGGGTACTAGACAAGAAGTTGTTGGTGCAAGCATTAATTCTTCTTATTTATGGACTCATTGTAGGGTATTGAGATTGACAAAGAATTTGAGGCTACAAAACGTAGGATCTGTTGAAGAAAAGAAAGAGTTGTGTGATTTTGCTAATTGGATTGCTGCGATAGGGGATGGACAAGTTGGTGGACCAAACGATGGTCATGCAGAGGTTCAAATTCCACACAAACATGTCCTAAAGCCAGATTGTGATCCAATTCAGGGCATTGTGCAAAGTACATTTCCTATGTTCCATGAGAATCAGAGTAACGGCACTTATCTCATTGGTCGAGCAATTCTAGCACCAACACTTGAGGTTGTTGACGAAGTTAACGATTACATGAGTAGTTTGAACGCTGCAGAATGTAGAACATATTACAGTTCTGATTCCGCATGCCCCACTGAAAACACACTCGGTGCAGTTGCCGCACTACACACCCCAGAGTTATTAAATGGCTTGAAATGTTCTGGCTTGCCTAATCATTCACTAACTTTAAAGGTTGGATCTCCCATCATGTTATTGCGAAATATAGATCATTCAGCTGGATTATGCAATGGGACAAGGTTAATCATTTCGAAGTTAGCAGATCACGTTGTTGAAGCCACAATACTTTTTGGAACTAACGCAGGTATGAAGGTCTTGATTCCACGATTGTTGCTTACACCGTCAGACCTAAGGTTACCATTTAAGTTTCAACGAAGACAATTGTTTGTTATTTACAATATATAGATAGATTTAGGTTCTCGTGCGGGTGAGGGCTTCAGGTGCGGTTGTGCGGTTTAATCTGAGCCATCCATCTCGCTTTAATCAACGTCCAGGATTATCAAAGTTTAAATTTTCATTGATTTGAGTCGCTGATCTAAATTTGATCAATTGCTCAGATTTAACCGCACGGGAAGCTATACACGCACCTGAACCCTATATATATATATATATATATATATATATATATATATATATATAGGCTTCGGATCCCATGAGGTCACTTAGATGGGTGAGATAATGGGGCATCATCTCATCCATTAAATCATAACATATCAAAGGGTGAGATTGAAAGAGATTTATTTTCCATCTATGGTAGTAGTCTATGTATAAGGGTGTATAAGTAATTGTAATATTAGAGCTATATATGGTTAGGAATAGATTGGAATATATTTCATGCTAAGGATCAACTAATTATGGTGTTGAATAATATATTTACGGTTATAAATTATTGTTGATAGAGTGTGAGTTGTATTTAAACATTTGTACTCAGCAATAGTGTTTTGCGGTGGGATATCTCCTCAATAATGAAGGTGCAACCGGAAAGAGGTATGTGCAACCTTAATAGAAGTGTGTTATGGGTTATGTTCTGTCTGTGCAGCCATTTAGTTAAGTCGGTGCGTTGAGTTAAGAACCCAACGCACAAGCCCAAAAACTAAACCGAACAAACGTCAGACCTACTAGAATCCAGTGTAAATTTTAAACAAAAAAAAAAAAAAAAAAAAAAAAAAAAAAAAAAAACACCCCCCTTGTAAACCCCAATCGCACTGACCATAATAACAAAAAGCACCAAATAAATATATAAAATAACAACACACCAACAGTTAATAGATCATAACATGTTACAATTAAAATACACATACCAAAATTGCTTTACGTAAAAAAAACAAAAACCAAGCTATAAAAATATGGTAAAAGTGTGCCTCAATTCTAGTTGACAGTCCAAATAAGAGATATTTGACCTGAAAACTTGTCAACCTATTTGTGACCCAACGCACAAGCCGAACACATAAAATGCACATAGAAAAACTTCATAACACAACGCAAACTTCTGTTCATTAATTTTTAAATTGAATAACGGAATCAGCATGTAACAAAAACCACAACCATACCGCTGATTGATCATACCCGTCATAACAAAGAATTTAAGCCAAACGCACACACGGGAAAACAAATTGCACACACAGCATAACAAAGAATTGAAGCCAAATGCACACACGGGAAAACACATTGCACACACCCGATACAATACCATAATTAAGTAGTGCACAAGCCCATAAAATCTGCTAATTAATTATTACACCCTAATTAAGACACTACCAAAAAGACAACAACACCCCCACATGCAAATAAATCACACGCACAAGGCATTATATTCAGCCAAATCTAATCCATCCAAAAACCCAAATAAACGCACCAGATCAAGCCTCACCACCTCGCCTGACAAAGGTAACCTCACCGGATCCAAAATCTATATATATATATATATATATATATATATATATATATATATATATATATATATATATATATATATATATATATATATATATATATTCACACCATGCAACGCACGGGTAGAGTACTAGTAAATAAATAAAAGCACTAAATCAGTAAGTCAAGACTATTGAAATTGAAATAAAAAATTGAGAAAATGTATAAAGTATAAAACTATAAAATATAAAGGAAAAGAGTAAGAGCCTTGTTGTTGTATTCAGCCTCTGTGGCCTGCTGGGCAGTCCATTTGCTCATGGGTATTAACTCGATAGTTTTATCCTCTTCGACATAGGGGTGCTCACATCCATTCAGAATCGCTCGCCATATGGGAACGCCTAAACCTTGCAGAAAGATCTTGGTTCTAACTTTCCAAACGCCATAATTAGTACCAACAAGTTGGGGAGGTCCTGCTTGTCCTTCCATACTTGAAAGAGACAATTACAACAGTTACAGGGATCGATTGATCAAGAAGAGAGTTCTTAGAACACGCTATGATACCAATTAAAATTTATAAGAGGGTTGTAACTCACTCAACTTTCGCAACAACGTTCAACACTGAACCCTGTCTAGAACTAGTTCGTAGAGTAGTGCAAAGTTTGGCGCAAATGACAAAATAAAAGAAAGCAAGAAAGACAATAGATCAACACAGAGAGTTTGTTAACCAGTACGAAATAAACATTCCTACATCTGGAGGGGCACCACAAGATGGATTACCCAACTCTTCATTCATAACAACTTCAAGTTTACCAAACAATTAATATGACCGAACTCCTTGAGCCTTAGGTAGACCGTAGCCAATTTGTAAGCCATAAAGGATTCTTGAAGAGATAATGTGTGACTTCGTTGTTTGTCAGAAGTTGAAGCTCCTCCCTAACTCCCCTGTGTCTTCTTGTGGTTTCAGCCCAGATCATCTTTCGTCATCACCAACTTGAGACCATCAAGCCTGCTCAAGTTGAATAGTTTAATTTCTTGATTCTTTGCTCATGTTGAAAATATATTAATGAATCCCCTCCAGATTAATGTTGTGAATCCCCTCCAAATTAATTATCAAATGAATATAATGTTGAAAATATATTAATTGATAAACAAATTATTCCTTATTTTTATATTTATGACCCTAGAAATTGGTATAATCTTGATAATAAGTCAAAAGATATTTTAGTTGAAAAATGACATATAAGATATCTAAATATTGTGTTTGTTTAGATAATATCTCTATGCATCTTTCATATGCTTATTATACTAGAAAGTTGAGTAATGGAGAAACTAGTGATCGAAAATAATTAATTTACTCAAAACATGTGAATAAAGCATATTCTTTTTGTTACAAGTTGTTCAAATCTAATAGAGTTAATACCCAAAATCGTCCTCGACTATAGTGGTTTTTCTCAATTTCGTCCTAAACGACTTTGGTGACCTAATATCGTCCCAGACTTTTGTGTTTCGCTCAATTTAGTCCTCCATTTGTTATTCCGTCAAATTGGTGTTAAATAAAGGGACAATTCAGTAATGTCAATATTGATCTCTCTTTACTTTCAACTTGTGCGAAATTCCTCTTTCTTGTACGAATTACACCCAGAATTACTCCCGGACCTGCAAATCAAATTTTATATTCGCAGTTTTAGGAGTAATTCCGGGGGTAATTCGTAAAAAAAAGGATTTCGCAGTTCACATGTCTATGAGTAAAGAGATGCCAATATTAAAATTACTGAATTGTCTATTTATTTAATACCAAATGGACAGAATAACAAATGAGGGACTAAATTGAGAAAAACACAAAAGTCTGGGACTAAATTGAGCAAAACACAAAAGTCTGGGACGATATTAGGTCACCAAAGTCGTTTAGGACGAAATTGAGAAAAACCACTATAGTCGAGGATGATTTTGGGTATTAACTCAATCTAATAATAATACAAGTGCTTTAGCAAACGATAGATTTAGAGATTAGTAACATCTTAGTGAGAAAAGCTTAAAGAACATGAGAATAGTATTGAACATATGAGTAATATGACAAATTGGAATGAATAAAAAATAAGATTAAATAATAATCAAACTATTAATAAAGTTTTACAATATAAAATTTTAAAAAAAAAAAAAAAAAAAGAACGTTGGACAAGTTTTACTATGCATAGTTTATGTTGTAAAATGTCTTGCAAAACATAATTTGGCTTTTCGAAAATCCAATAAAAAAATTTACCATGATAATAGTGACAATTTTGTGAGATTGATTAAGATGATTGCAGAATTTGATTTGATAATGTAAGATCATATTAGATGTATTCAAAATAACGAAATTCATCATCATTATCTTGGTCACAAAATTCAAAATGAGCTAATTTCTATTTTGGCTCAAAGTGTTAAAGCTCTATATCATAAATATATTATTAAAGAAGCTAAACATTTTCTATAATTTTTTATTGTACCACAAATATGAGTCATAAAAAACAAATGAGTTTAGTAGTACAAAGTATTACATGTCTAGTAAATAAAATACAAATAGAAGAATACTTTTTAAAATTTTTAAAAGTGGACAATACATCTGGTATAGGACTTTATAATGAATTGTTAGATGCAATTAAAGATCTAGGTCTTAAAATTGATGATGTGAGAAGTCAAGGTTATGATAATGGTTCTAATATGAAATGAAGTACCAAGGTGTTAAAAACGATTACCAGAAATAAATTCTAGAGAATTATATATGTCATGTGCTTATCATAATTCTAATCTTACTATTAGTGATATGGCACATTCTTTTATTAAAGCAGTTTCATTTTTTTTTGAATTATGCAATGCATATATGCTTTATTTTTTAGTTCTCCTAAAAGATGAAAAATTTTATTTGTTAATGTTTCAAACTTAACCGTAAAATTTTTATGTAATACACGTTGGGAGAGTCGAATAAAAAGTGTCAAAGCTATTAGATTTCAAGCACCTCAAATAAGATTAACTTTATTAGAATTATTTAAATCTTGTGATGATGCCAAATCATAAAGTGAAGGGGATAGCTTGATCAATGCACTGGAGTGTTTTAAATTTTTATTCAGAATTGTTATTTGGTATGAAATTTATTTATTTGCTATTAACATGGTAAGTAAAATGTTTCAAACTAAGTAAAAGAGTTCCAATGCACATAAATTTTGATTTCAACCTTTTACTTACCATGTTAATAACAAATAAAATTTTACGCCAAATAAAATTTTACGCCAACTAACTAACCTATTCATTTCATTCTTTGATTTGACATCATCAAAAGATTTAGATAATTCTAACGAAGCTAACCTTATTTGAGGAGGTTGAAATATAATATTTTTGACACTTTCTATTCGGCTATTCCAACGTGTATTGCATAAAGATTTTACATTCAAGTTTAAAACATTATCAAGTAAAAATTTTCATCTTTTAAGAGAACTTGAAAATAAAGCATATATGTGTTGCATAATTTCAAAAAACAAACATGCTTTAATACAAGAATATGTCATATCACTAGCAATAAGATTAACACTATGACAAGCACATGACATATACAATGTTCTCGAATTTATTTCAAATAATCATTTTTTAACACATTAGTGTTTTCTTTGCATATTAAAACCATTATCATAACCTTCACCTCTCACATCATCAATTTTAAGACCTAGATCTTTAATTGCATCTAACAATTCATTATAAAGTCTGAAGCCAATTGTATTCCCACTTTTAAGAAAACTCTAAAAAGTATTCTTCTATTTTTATTTTATTACTAGACATATTATCACACCGTACTACTAAACACATTTGTTTTTGATGACTCACATCTGGGGTACAATCAAGAATTATAAAAGAAATATTTAGCCTCTTTAATAATATTTATGATAGAACCTTTAACATTTGGGCTAAAATAGAAATTAATTATTTTGAATTTTGTGACCAAGATAATGATGATGAATTTCACGATTTTGAATACGTATAATATGATCTTGCATTATCAAATCAAATTTTGCAATCATCTCAATCAATCCCAAAAAAATTGCATTATTATCATAGTAAATTTTTTCCTTAGATCCTCGAAAATCCAAATTATGTTTTGCAAGACATTTTACAACAAAAACATTGTATAGTAAAACTTGTCTCCAACGTTCTTTTTCTTTTGAAATTTCATATTGTAAATCTTTATCAATAGATTAATTATTATTTAATCTTATTTTTAGTTCATTCCAATTTGTCATATTAGTCATATGTTCTAATACTATTCTCATATTCTTGGAGTCTCTCACTAAGATTCTTCCAATCTCTAAATTCATTATTTGCTAAAGCACTTGTATTGTTATTAGATTTGAACAACTTACAACAAAAACAATATACTTTATCCACATGTTTTAGTAAACTAACCATTTTCGATCACTAGTTTCTCCAGTACTCAACTTTCTAGTGTGGTAAGCATATGAAAGATGCCTAAAGTTATTATCTAAAACAAACACAATATTTAAATCTCTTATAAGCCCCTTTTCAACCAAAATATCTTATGATTTATTATCAAAATTATACCAATTTCTAGGGTTATAAATATATAAAAATTAGGAGTAATTTGTTCATCTATTAATATATTTTCAACATTATACTCATCTGATAAATTATCATGTTCACAATTTACCCTAAGAACTATTATTTATTACATTATCTCATCCACTCAAATTACTAACATCCTCATCAATATGATCTCTTGCTTACTCAAACTTTCATTAGATTGTTCAAGATTATCTATGGTTGGTGTCTCTAAATTTTCATTAGAGGATCCTACTATTTGAATAAATTTATTCATAGCTCTTCTTTGTTAATCTATTAACTGTTCAATTTGTTTTTTTTTTCACTTTCAGATAAATGTTTTTTAGGCAATATTGTATAAGAAAATTAGTATAAAATTGATCTAAACAAACAAAAAAAATACAAAAAAAAATAAATAAATAAATAAAAAGAACAAAAGCACCTGTGAAGCATTTGCACTTGTGAATCAGTTAATCAAAAATCTTTATTTTGCCTGACAAGTAAACATGTGCCTTCAATCCCTGCATAAATAAATGAATAAACACATTACAAAACTTAAAAAATAAAATCAATCATTATATATTAAACCTAATAAACTTACAATTTCATTATGCACAGGAATCCTAATAGAATTAAAAGACGATAAACTTACAATTTCATTATGCACATCCATCCTAATAGAATTAAACTTACAATTCATTATGCACATGAATCCTACTAGAATTAAATTGTGCACAATTTCACTTCTAAGCAAGACAAACTTCTCTTATCTATAACATTCTTTTTTTTGCTCTTATGGTTCATAATACAGCAGTGCAACACTTAGTTCATACTGAATCGTGTATTCGGGTACAGCATACGGCAATATTAAATAGCAGCATACGGCAACATACTAAGCAGTACATCACTCAGTTAAAATTCCTATTTCCTAATTATAGTTCACAAATCACAATTGCAAGCTTGCAGCAATTGTGATACAAATTACAGTTCACAAATCACTTAGTTAAAATTCATAATTCCTAATTACAGTTCACAAATCACAATTGCATGCTTGCAGCATTACAGATTTATAGTGATATAGGCATACATTAAATCAGCAATCGGCAGAAAAATTGCACATTTGCACAGGAAATTAGGAATACCCAAATTGCATTATTAATAGAATAACAATAGCAAAGGACAAATTTAGAATTAGTTAGGGTTACAATTAGATAAAATCAGAAAATACCTTTGCAGATTAGGGCATTAGGCGATTAGGTGAAGGCCCGGTGAAGGTGATTAAGCAAAGGCGGAAGGCCTGGTGGTTGCTATAGCAGATTTGCAAATAGGGCCGGTGAAATTGCAGTTTGTCATCTATGAGTGTGAATGGTGGATTTGAAGTTTGCTTCTGAGATTTTATGGACTCCATTCTTATCGTTGAAAAGGCCTAGTGGTTATTATGGCATAGATGCAACCGGCGAGTCGGTGACGCTTGGACTCTAAGCAGCTTGGGCGGTGGGTGCGAGACTAAGAGTATGCGCGTCTCCTCAACTCCTTCCGACTTCCTCGCAGACCTCGCCCCTACAGGCTACATCAGAAAACATTAAAAGCATTTTATATATTTTATTATATATATATATATATATATATATATATATATATATATATATATATATATATGGGCCCTTATATAGTATTTATAGTAGAAGGCTCTACGCGCTAGTCGGGCGCCTGGGCACCTAGATAGGTGAGTAATAATAATAAGAAAAACACAACAGTGTACATATTGCACACTAAAAAAATCACTCGACTGAGTTTGGCTGACTCAGGCGCCAAATTGGCCGACCCGGGAGCTGAGTTTGGCTTACTGGAGTGCCTAGACCGCCTAGTTGGCCGACCGACTAATGTTGGCCTAAAGTTAAAATTCCCTCTGCCTAGGGGGCCTAAAGCCTAACCGGCACCTAAGCCGATTTTTACAACAATGACAGTTTAAGAAATAGAAGACTTTCGTTCTTCTAGTACCTATGCAGCCAGTTGGTCATCGTGTACGATATTGAATACTTTATGAAACAAGAAGAGTATGAAAAGACAGGTAGTTGAATATAATTGAATTATCGAGAACTTCTAGGGTGCAAATTAGCATTGGTACCCAGGTACGTATATACTATACATGATTGTACTAGGGATGATATGTGCCTAAGAATTTTCCTTGAATTATCACATACCAGCAGATATAATAAGAGACTGAGCAGTGTAGTTGAGGTTTGCCTTCGCCCAAGGAATTGTTCGGACAGCAACCAACTGAAATTTTGAGAAAGCGATCGACTGTAAGATAAAGATAGAGAAATCCCACAAGGCAGAGAAAAGAATATACCATTCAATGCTATTTCTTTTGACATATTTTTCAATTTTCTAAAGAGGATCATACTAATGCAAACGAGAGAAATGCAGCCTCCAGCTTTAACCAAGCATTCAAGAAATAACAATATAGTGCAACTAGCATTACTACAATTCTCCCACAAAGGATTCTGTTTTGATTGCAGAATTTAACAAGTCTAATAGGTTTCTGAAGCTCGTTGCAGCTTTGCATGAACTTGAAGCATGATTATTTAAACCAAGATAGTCTCATAATTTAGCTTGCACATTAAGATATTTGCATCAAGATAGTCTCGTAGTCCAAAATGCGAACCGATACTACAACAGAAAAGTGTTTCAATGAAAATGATATTTGAGTACAAATGAGGCGCAATTACATACTGTTGGAACAGCACTAGAAACACATGCAATTGCAGCAGCCTTGGCGCCAGCACGAACACCCTCTACAAGTTTACAATGCCAAAATAAGGAAAACCAAACAAGTAGCTTTTCAGTAAATGATAGAGAGCAAGATTTCAGTCGATAGAAACATTCTGTCACAGATTAAAACTCTGGCCGGGCAGATAATAGAACAAAGTATATGCCTCTTCCTAGAAGGGGGAAAAAAAAAGTGTGCACCCAATAGCAACTTCTACATCAAACAAGAAACCTATTTGAACTGCCACCCAAGCAGCTCAATTGATTCCTAGGCGGTAGATTGTGGGCAAGACACAAGATCAAGCCCTGACAGCTGTGGGAGTTACACCCAATAGTGGGCTTCTTGTGGGCGCCATGCAATGGTCCTTTCATCTAATAATGTAATTTACCCATACACTAGCCTGAGAGGACATGACTAGGGAATTTGGCCTTTTGTGGGCAAGAAACCCATTTGGCCTTTTGAACAATTTATGATTTCAAAGAAACCAACACATAGAAGCAAAGGAAGAAATGAACTTCTCTAGGTTTTAACATTTCCATAAGATCGTTGAATTTCTCAAAAAACCCAAGAACAGGAAATCTGGAAAAAAAAAAAAAAAAATAGTGTGAGAAATTTGAGACCTTGGGTACACTCTTGACTCCTGCAGATCTTTGCTTTCTCATAAGGAGCAATCAAGAATGGCCTGTCCATTTGGAATCTTGAGGAAATTCCCATTTTTTTATCTGTGCTCGAGTACCTCAATTTTGTGTCTAAGCTATCAATTCAAATACATACACACATGCGCAATAATTGAAACAGAAGCAGTTTAAATATATAATGGAATCAAGATGGAGACAACTACTTTTTATTATTAGAGAACAGAAGAAATTGAGAAAAAAGGGAACTTTGCTTAGCAATGTGAATAATGTTATTATTTAATATGTTATTTCTTATATTGTAATAGGGATTAAGTTATGTGGTGCTAGTTGTTTTGACTTAGACTAGCCTAGTATGTAGGAGAAGTTTATGTTATCTCTACCTCTTTAGTATTGTAATCTGATCAGATGAATACAGTTTGAATTTCCTCTTCTCATCTGGTATCAGTTAGCCTCACGCAAAATGAGAATTCTGTAGCGGAAGCCTGTATAGCCCTCCCGAAGCGGGCCCTTTAAGCAGGATTGCCCGAGTGGTCGAATCCTTCACAAAGAAACAGTGTTTATGAAACTCAAAAAAAACGTTATTCTCATTAGTGAATTTTTGGACAGATAATAATGGCACAGATAGACTAGGCACATGTAACACATCGGACAATTTTAATATTTTTGACACAGAAGGAATTGATGCGGACCCAACATGTGAAATAAGCAAACCTGAACCATTTCCTACACGAAGAACATCACCACCATTATATTCCGAGGACTGAGATAGCATGGATGAATCCGGGGTCGCGTGGGCAGACGCGCCGGTGTCCGGGAACCACGAACCAGCCGCGGACGCCGTTTCATCTCCGGTCACCGTCAAGTTGGCCTGCGGCGGTTGAGCGGTGTACCGTTTGTTGCAGTAGATAGCGGAATGACCATGAGCCCGACATATCTGGCAGCGAGGCTGTCCGCCACCACGTCCACCGCCGCGACCGCCGCGCCACTGGCCGCCGCGATTACCTCGCCCCTGGCCGGAATTGCCGCGGCGACCACCTGAGCGCCCTCCAGACTGGTTGCCGCCTCTGTTCACATGGAGTGCCGCCAGAGAGTTATTGGACGCACTGCCAAGACCAGCCGGAACATCATCGGAGTAAGTAAACTCCTGGGCCTGCAAAAAATCTGCTAATTGAGGGAGAGACACTGGTTTGCCGGAGGCGGTGAGGGAAGAGGCCATGCTTCGGAATTCCGGACGGAGACCCCGGAACACCCAGAGGTTCTGCTCGTCGAGGGAAAGTGGCCGGCCGGCGAGGGAGAGAGCCTCCACGATCAGCTGCGCCTGGCCGATGTAGTCCGCCGGAGAAAGATCACCTTGCCGCAATGACTGGAGCTGTCCGAGCAGGTTGAGGCAACGAGCCCTCGTGCTGGACCCAAGTGCGGCGGTGATCGAGTCCCACACCTCCTTCGACGTATTCCTGCCAACTGCTAGATGAAGAACCTCGTCAGCCATGGAGGATACGAGGAGAGACAGGATCGAGGCATCCTGCTTCACCCACGACCGGAACTCCGGATTCGGAGCAGGAACGGCAAAGTTGAACGCCGGAACAAACACATAGTCGAAACCGGTTTAGCCTTGTTAGCCGAAGGGTCGGTCCCTATGCAGTATTGGGACTATGCGTTTGAAACAGCAACGTGTCTTATTAATTACCTACCCTCATCGGCCTTACAATTTGAAAGCCCATATTTTCGTCTATACAAAGTGTCACCCCCATACACGTTTCTTCGACTAGCCTAGTATGTAGGAGAAGTTTATGTTATCTCTACCTCTTTAGTATTGTAATCTGATCAGATGAATACAGTTTGAATTTCCTCTTCTCATCAGCAAACACAGTTGTGAGACAAATAGATTGATGATGAATGAAACTGCTAGGACACAGAAAGTGGATATGCATATACGATCAATACCATACATGATTATAACTCCCATAAAATAACAATACATGGTTCATACAAACTCTGTAGTGTATGTGGGAAGAAAATGAATCTCTCAGTAAAACAAAATGAGGGAAAATGATGATCAGGAAATTGCTTGTTCTGACAACAAAAGAATAGATTAAACTCACCAGTTCAATATATTCCTCATAAATCAAGAAACAATGTTGAGTAAAAAGTAAAATTATAGAGCATGAACATAATCAAAAGAATGTCGGGACTCATCAGATAATCAGTATATGAGATTAAACAATAACAACTACAACCTCAGTCATCTACTAAGTAAAACTCTTTCTTCCATTTCCAATTCCAATTCCAATTCCAATTCCAATCATCTATGAGTAAATTCAGGAACTCCATAAGCACCCAAAAAATCAAAACAAAACAAAACAAAAAAAAAAAAAAAAAAAAAAAAAAAAAAAAAAAAAAACATTTTTACTAACCTGAGTTGCTTACAGGACCATCAGGTGCATTGATGAAGTCAAGGCCGGTTTTTAGAATTTTGTGGCTCCGCTCTTGTAAACCCTATCAAACAATCAAACAATGATTACCAATTACCAAACAACAATACACAGGTACGATACAGACTACGGAGCAAACACATTACACATGTAAAATTAAAGATTTAAAGTAAAAAAAAAAAAAAAAAAAAAAAAAAAAAAAAAAAAAAAGATTGAAACAACCCGATAAGAAAGCCCTTATTCCTTGAATCCTTGTTGATTTGCTTGGTCTCATGGTCTGCTAGACTGCTACAGCCTACAGTGCTAGGGAATTGGGCCGTTTGGGCGAAAGTGCGATACTGCGAATCGCGAAACCGTCGTCACTCGTCTGTCAGTCCAGGCGTCACCGCATCAGTCTTCCACTCTTCCCCCTCGTACTTCCGCCGTTCCGCGGCTCCGCCCGTCCGGATCTCCAAAAGACGAAAGCGCTCCTGGCCTCCTCTAAAATTCCACTCTTCCTCTAAAATTCTAAATATTTGATTCTTATGTCTACTGATTTTAGTGTTCTACTGCTCTCAGACGTCTCAGTGCTCTGCGCCTCTGCCATTTGCCAAAGAAGATTAGAAGACGAAGAAACAGGTAGAAGAAAAACTAAAGCGGTTTTTTTTTTGGGGTTTGTTTCTTCTAATCTTCACAGCAATATTGTATTCTGTATAGTCAATAGTGTATTGGTGGACGGTGGTAACTGGTAAATGATACAGTACGTTGGGAAGAAGAACAGTTTTGCATGATCAATTAATTAATTAATTACGTCTTAAACTCCTAATTATTATGATTTAGAGAACTGATGAATTTTAGATGGTTGTTTCTATTTGTACCACCATTTGATTAAAAGTGAGTATAAAGTATTTTGAAAATGTAAAAATGTGAAATTTTTTAGTAATTAGTAAGTGGTGTAAATAGTCAACTAATGATACATTTGTTATTTGCACCACCTAGTCAAACTTGCAATTAATAATTTATTAATTTCAAATTTAATTAATTAAAATTTAAAATTTAAAAAAAAAAAAAAAAACACGAGACGTTTTCACCTTATCCGGTGAGAAGGCAAAGGCAATCCAGTTGCAAAAAAATTGTCACCTTCTCCAGTGAGAAGGCAGTCCCTCGCCTTCTCACCGAAGAAGGCGAGGGGTTTAAGGTTTTTTTTTAGTTTGATTTTTTTAAAAATAAGGCTTGATTACATTTATTAAAGGTGTTATTTTTCTATTTGCAACACCTATAAAGCTATTAAACCTATTATGGCCCGTTTGGTTCACGGAATCAATTTGGAGGGAATAGAAATACTATTCTATAGGGAATGGAATAGGTAAGGAATATAATAGAAATTGTATTCGGTTGTTTGGTTCGCTGAAGGAATAGACATTGGGAACTGTATTCCAATGTTTGGTTGGTTAGGGAATAAGAATATAATATATGTTTAAAAGTCATAAAAGCCCTTGTACAAAAATAATAATAATTATTATTATTATTATTATTATTATTATTATTTTTTATTTTTTTATTTTTATTTTTTTTTACCTTGCACCATATCATGAATAATGCCACATTCTTTTTTCAAAGTTTTAATTCTACTCTCAATATGTGGCTTATCTTTTATGGTACAATTTGGTATTTTGTCCAAAATCATTCTTTCAAGTTCTAGTAAATAACATGTCTTAAACCCTGTTTCGGAATAATATTTTCCTACATTATACATTTCGGTCAAACATGACACTAATATAATTTCTTCTTTGGGTGTCCACTTTTTTTTGTTTGCTCAACACTTTGAGAGCCGGTGGTTGGAGATGTATGGGGAGAAGTCATTCCTAACTACAAATAAATTGAAATAATAAATTATTAATCAAACTCAAACACACTACATTATTCATAAACCACATTACGAAAAACACCAAATCACAAAATCAAACATCAATGAATATGGCCTTAATTTCTAGATGATGTCCATCCATTGAACATGTCATTTGTTAATTCTGTCCTCCAATTATTCCAAACTTCTAAAGGCTCTATTTGTGTAACATCATCATCTTCATGTATGATGTTACCTTGTACGAATTCATTTTCCATAGGATCAACAGTCATCTCATTTCTAATAAAATTATGCAGCAAACAACATGCAAGTATAATTCTGTTATGTATTCTAACAGGATAAAATGATTGGCTTCTAAGTATAGCCCATCTCATTTTCAATAACCCAAAACAACATTCTATGACATTGCGAGCAGCTGCATGTTTCATATTAAAGAACTCTTGAGGAGTTGCCGATTGATGATCTTAACGCCATCCATTTAAGTGGTACCTTTGACCTCTAAATGGTGCAAAAAATCCCTCACTATTAGCATATCCTCCGTCAACTAAGTAGTGACAACCTAGAAACATAAGTTTATAGTTTAATAAGAATGCATATTATATTACATGATATTTGGAATTTAATATTATAATAATTACCATTAGGGACCTTAAGTGGATGCCTTCTAGATAATGCATCCCGAAGAACTCTATTGTCTGTTACAGATCCTTCCCATCGCGGAAGAATATACAAAAATTGCATATTAGGTGTACATACACCTAATACATTTGTTGCAATTTCACCATTGCAAGATCGATATCTAGGCTTATCTTCTGATGACACTTGTATTCTAATGAAAGTTCCATCTAAAGCGCCTAGACAGTTCTAGAAACAATATCAAATATTATTAAACTTATAACTCAGGTGTAGGGGATATGTTTAACTACCTTAAACCATTTCCATCTATAATATGTAGAGGTAGCTGGAACTGGTTCAGGATCTTTGAATAAATGATTTTGGAGTTTCAAAACAGCATTTAATACTATATTAAAGTATCGACTAATAGTTTCCCCCGACCTTTGAAAATTATTTTGAATGATCCTATTTTTTACGTGATGAGCAATAATATGTAAAAATATTGCTACTTGCTCATCAACAGATATATTTCTAGTTGGCTTTAACCCTCCTATAGTTTGTAACATTGCACACAACTTCACAAAAGCATGTCGATTTATCCTAAGTTGAGATATGCATTTTTCATCACACGAATACACAGTTCGTAACATATATTCTCGAGACCCTAAAGTATTAATAATATAAGATTTCACTCATTTTTTATTAGAACACAAAATAGTCAAGGTTGACATCATCATTATAAACAATAAACTCACAGAGCACACATATCCATCATACATGCAACACAGCTACACATCTTTTCCTTCTTTCAGTATGAGTTATTAAACGCAATCGAGCCATAACTGCAAATTTAATTTAAAACTTACAATAACTTATACAGATTACAATAACACTACGATAAAAAAAAAAAACAATAACACTACTGTGACAAAAAGAAAAAAAAAAACAATAACACTTTTACAGCAAAAAAAAATATAAAATATAAAACCAATAATAAACAATAAACTAAAAAAATAAAAAAATGAAAAAATAAAAATTAAAACGATATACTGCTGCGGCTGAGGAATTACATATATAATGCTGCGGCTGCCGCGCCACAGTAGTATATATATTACATATATACTGCTGTGGCGCGGAGGGTTCTACAGCCGCAACAGTAATATATATATATATATATATATATATATATATATATATATATATATATATATATATATATATAATACTGTTGCGGCTCGTCGCAGCAGTATATATATGTATTATTTATATAATTAAATATCAATAATAATTAATTTGTAAAAAATATAATTCAGAAAATTATCTTTGTTTGAAGCTTTAATTTGATGTAGATAATAGAAAGAATTGCAAAGATTAATGCAGAATGGCGAAATAAATTGTTTGATTGATACTGATGATGAAAGGAATCGGGAAGGAATCGTAGATGTAGAATGATTCGTAGGGAGAGAACGCAGAGAATGATAAAGGTTAAAATTGAAAAAAAAAAAAATTCTATTCTTGAGGAATCAGGAATAAGTTAATACCAGGGAGGCCTGGTAATAGCTATTACCTTATTTGAGGTAATAGGCTTTTACTAGGAATATTATTTCCGGTAATAGACATGGTTACCAAACAAAGGAATATGCCTATTACTGGGAATGCTATGCCATTCTCGGCCTATTCCCTGAACCAAACGGGTCATTAAAGAGGTGGTGTAAATAGTAAATAGGGTGGTGCAAATAGAATTTCTCATTTTAGATATTTAGCCGAGTAGCTTTTAGGATTAATTGTAATTTTTTATTTTAATTTCTTAACTACCTAAGTAAAATTTAAATATTGGACCCCTTAAAAATTGAAGCCATGTGCTATTGGGCTGCTTGTACAGTCCAAAATCCAGGCCTGGATGAAGTCAACCATCAGTTCCATACGTCAATCATTTAATAGCTAAATCTACTTAATTAACTCATCCTTACTTTGAATGGCGAGGACGAAAAATGTGAAGATCGAAAGGGAACAAGAAGACGAACCTGATTCGGCGGTGGTGGCGGTCGCTGTGTTGGCGGTATCAGCGACGGGATTGCTGGTTCAGCGATGGTCGCAGTACAAAGCAGGCAGGTAGGGTTGTTCTTGTTAATAGAGTTAATTATTGTTCACTTGACTATAACGAAATTGCAACTTTAATATTTTACTTTTTTTTTGCTTAATTAAATTCTTCAACATTAAATATCTTAACTAAGTTGGTCATCAATTTGTTTAGCCGTTAGATATCCGTTTACTCGGAACCAAATTGGTAATTTCGTTATAATCAATAAACCATTTCGGTAATTAACTCTTTAGTTTAATAAGAAAGAAAATGGTGCATGTGATGACTAAAATGGTCTCTTCACTATAGCAAATTCTCAGATTGGTCCAATGGCTAAATAAACAGAGGATCAAATTAGTTAAGATTTTTAAAATTGAGAGACTTAATTGAACAAAAAAGTAATCAATGACCAAATTGATAATTTCTATATAGTTAAGAAATCATTTCCTTAATTAACTCACACACACACACACACACACACACACACACACACACACACACACACACACACACACACACACACACACACACACACACATATATATATATATATATATATATATATATATATATATATATATATATATATAGGTAAAAGTTTAGGTGTGAACTATTACTAATGTGTGCACGTGTGCACTCATTATAACCGTGTGATGTATGATGATCTATGGTTGCAAATTAGGGTTCACAAGCACCGGGTGTACCCCGCCACATCTACCATTTTATTAGTTGCGTATTAGAGGGGGGGGGGGGGAGTCGGGGGTTTGTATGTTTGTGTTCATACCGTTAGCAGCACACTCTGAGCAGCTCTGTGGAGGCGCGATAAACGGATGGCTCGTTCTGGTGGCTACCGGCGTTCTAGGAGGGGTAGGTCACACTCTTCGTTCTCGCCCACGACTCCACCGTCAGCTTCGTTGCACAGGGTCGCCGACGCGTCCCGAGCGTTCAGACGCCGTGCTGGGCGCCAGTCTCCAGCGGCGGCCGATCGTGGCAGGTTCGAACGGGCTGCTCTGGGGATTGCGGCTAGGGTTTCTTCACGGCGGCGGACCGCGCATCGATGGGGCACGCGAGGTTTGTGCATTGCTTTATGGTTTCTGCGTGTTTCACTTGCTATTTCCGATGTTGGGGGTTTTACGGGCGGTAGGGGGTGTTGGGGTTGTTCTGGGTTTTTTCAGTAACTAGTTTCTTCAGGCCTTGCTCTATGATTTTGGGGTGTTTTCAGTTCTTGATTTTCAAGAATGTGGTCTGTGCTTTCTCAGTGAATACTATGCCTTGCTTATATTCGGTAATGCATTAGTATTGTTAGGTTTTGTTTGGGGTTTTTTGGCAGTAGTAATCACTGTGGCATTCGTTTACAGTGTCAAGGAGTAGAGGTTGCATTTTGTGATGTAATTCACTAGTCTATGCTTCACTTTGTAACTACAATAAACTTGTAAACATGGTCTTGTTATGTGCTACATCTAGCAATTGCCTTCTCAGTAATTAGTGATTGCAATTCTTGATTTATGAATTGAGCTTTACATTTAGCTAATTTTCTAACGATTTCTCAGTGACTATTATCTTGATTAGCTTCGGTTAGAGTATGGCATAGCCTGCGGTTTGTTTCTTAGTTTATATGTTTTGCTTATATTATGTAATGCATTAGGTTAATGTGGGGGAATAGGGGGTGGAACTAATGCATACTTGTATACCACAAATTAAAGAAACTGGAACTAGTATTTCTTATTTCTTAAGACTTCGGCGACTGCCACTACTAGCTAAATATATATGTATATAGTTTCAGAAGTAATTAATAGAGATTAATTCAGGATGCATGAGGCATGGGAAAAACAAAGGAGTCGTGCATGATATGTTTGATTTCTCAGAGTCTGGTATCTTGATTATCTTCAGTTAGAGTATGGCATTAGGGGAATGAAGAGTTGGAGCCTGCGTTTTGTTTCTTAGTTTATATGTTTTGCTTATATTATGTAATGCATTAGACAAATGTGGGGGAATAGGGGGTGGGGATGTTGCATTATGTTTTGATTCAGTAAACTTGTCACTGCTCCATACGCGTATACCACACACTACTAGCTAAAGAAGAAAGGACTAAAGAGAAAGATTTATATACAGCACACACTAGGCACTGAAGCAAGAATTGAAACTTACCTGGCGATTTGTAACCAGAACTAATTTTGTACAGTGACGATGGCAGTAGAATAAGTCCAGGGGTATGGGATGAAGAGGAACTGCTGTTAGCCAATGAATTCAAAAAAGAAATTCCAATATCTCCTAAAATATGAAGCTTCTGCAATATGCCAAAATATTTACTGTTAAGAAGTACATGCAACATAGGACAATAATTTTAGAAAGCACCACTTACATGAGTCATATGGTCATCAATAGCATCCTCTGCCTTTTTGATTGCATGAAAAAGATTTCTTAAGTATGAAACATCATGAGTGATAGAATCCATATCCCGATCCAGCCAATTAACATCAACCAATGCCTTAAGTGTAAGAATAAGTGGCCTGACCCAAATGGTGTAAGTTTTAAAAGAGTGGAGAAGGAGCAAATTGCTGCCTAATATCAAATTAGACACATTAATTCGTACACATATTCGAAGCCACAAATAATCAAACACAAAGCACATTTACCTAAAAAACTGAGCGTAAACCTCTTCATCTTGACTTTCAAATGGGGGGAAACTTGTGTAAACAGGAGAATATGTCACTTTTCTGGGCAGTACTGAAGTTTGGTGCACTTTAGCTGCATCGCTATAGTCCTTTATAAATTCCTCCAAATTTTTCATCGCTATCAATATATATATAAAACAAATGGTACATTGTATGACAAATAAATACCTTAATTAGCATAAGGGTAACATTTTATCGGTTAGTTATTATTACAAAAAAAAATATTACACTGGATGTTGCAATGCACAAATCTAATGTGGTACGTTGTTGTGATGTTCCGGGTCGGGATGATGGCCACCCGGTGGGGTCTAGTGACGACGGAAGTGATATGGACGAGGGGCTTCAAATGCCGCTGGAGGATTCTGAAGATCTCAATGATGCAGAACCGGCGCATGGTGCGGCGGCCCGCGAAAGCCAGTTGTTCCCTAAGATCAAGACACGGGGCAGCCCAAGGGAGCTTGCTCGCCTTGTTGCCTCGCTCATGATACGGCAACGGCAAGATGTTAAAGCCATGGGTATGAGTGGGTTGCTGGGGTTAAGGGTTAAGGAACTACCCCTGCACCTCGGGCATTGGTTAGTGTCTAATTTCGACCCGGTGGAAATGAAGATAAACCTAAGTCACAAGAGGTCCATTAACATTACGAGGGAGGATGTGGCGGCGGTGTTGGGACTTCCGAATGGATCGATCCCCATAACAGAGCGTGATAGCCTGGTGGAATGCCCCGACCTGCGAGCGTGGAGGAGTAAAGTTCAAAAAACGGGAGGGTAATATCACCGTGAAGGCGCTTACAACGCAACTGTTGGAACTGAAGGGGGCGGCGGCGTGTGGTTTAAGAGACATTTTTGCGTGGTGGTGGTTAGCACCCTGATCACAAGCACACTCAATGGGTATGCAAACCAACGGACTGTGCACATGTTCCGGGATGTTGCCAGGATTAGAGAGTTGGACTGGTGTGGATACCTCCTGCGGACGTTGGTCAGTACACATGCGAGTTGGATGCAACGTTCTTCAAAGAAATACCCGAGGCCATTGCTGTTCCTCACTGTAAGTGGGGTGTAGTGTTGGGGTGTGTGATGGGTGTATTGGATTTTGCATCCATTGTAATATGTTTCAATTATTTTGGGGAAGCTGTTGTATGTGGACAGGGTGGTTGTCGGTGCCCGGGATGTACCCAGGACCATACCAGCATTGCGCGGGTGGACACCAGTATGGTTAAAAGCACGGGAAAGACGGGAAGTTCATGGTGGGGGATTCGGGAATGGCCAGCTAGATGCACCGCTCCGTGCATCGGCGGCGCGTGATTGGCGAGATATGGCGCAGGGAACTCGTGGTGACACAGGCTGCGCACGGCTCAGCATGGACTCGATCCGGGTCCCATTACAATATGTTATCGGTGTGTTATGTATTCGGGGTTAATGTGATAGGTAATTCAGGTCTGTTACAGCATGCCATTACTATATATATATATATATATATATATATATATATATATATATATATATATATATATCTCTAATAATTCAGGTCTTGTGCATGTGTGCAGGGGGATGCATGGCCTCCTAATAGCCCACGGGGAGAACCGCAAGACACCTTCGATGGCCAACGGAAACGGCCGGATCACCACAGACCCATATCATAGTGCCCGATATGGTATGGCAACTTAATTAGTGCATTCTGTTTATTCCAGTGTGTATATATATATACTAGTTTTTTACGCGCATTGCGCGATTGGGATAATGCCCTATGTTTTTTTTAAATAAGTACTTTAAAGTATATTAAGGCAGGATTATATTGAAATTGTTCATGCATAGATAATTGAAGGTTGAATTTGTGTATTTAAATAGGTAATTCTTCTCCCAAAGATTGAGTCTCCAACCCCAAGGGCCCCCCACACTCCGACCCGACAGAGCATTGTGGACAAGGAATTTGCCCACTTTGGACATAATTCTCGCACTGCGGCCGCCGAGGTTCAAAACCATTGAGCTAAGCCGGTGCGGGTTAAATAGGTAATTATAAGTTTACAAATGCAAGATAATATAGTCAAGATTGATTATAATTGTCAATAAAATAATTGTATAGGTATGGTTGAAACTAAATACGGGACATAAGGGAGAACAAATAAAAATTAGGGCATAAAATATTAAATATATACTAATATTGTTTGAGGAGATTCCGACATTAGGATTTGTGGTTAAGTTCTATTAAGACTTTAATATTAGAATTAGATTAATGGTGTAGTTATAATTCTATATTAGACTTTAATATTAGAATTAGACTAACGGTGAATTAACGGAAAAATTAAATGGATAATCATATAATTAAAGATAAATTAGAAAATCTTAAAAGAAAAAAGTTAAAACCTGAACAATATGAACCATTCATTTGATTTAATAATTTGACGGTCATTTTTTCTACCCAATGTTAATAATTAAATAAATTCGCTGGTCAAATCCGCTAGTATAATCCGCTAACGCTAACCCCTAACTGCTGATTGTCAAACAAGGACATTGCGAGGTAGTTCTCACTTCAATTTGTTGTGTGATTTGAATACTCTCTTTGTCACAAAATCTCTCAAGTAGTTAATATGGTTGACTTTATTAATTATATTTTTTTAATTTTTTAATGGTATTAATAAAATACTTGGTAAATAAATATATAGCAGTATTTTGTATTATAACTTTGATATTTAATTAGAAAAATAGTGCAGAAAAAAGATAATAGATAATATAGTGAATATAATCAATTGATGAATTTGAATGTAAAAATTTTTACATTTGAGAAAAATAAAGACAATATAACTAATGAAAATATTTCTTTTAATTAATTTATTGATAAATAATAATTCTTTTTTCACTGAATAAAGACATGGTAAGGATAATGTAGCGAATATAATCAATTAATAAATTTGAATATAAAAAATTTTTATATTGAAGAAAAATAAAGACAATATAACTAATAAAATTATTTCTCTTAGTTAATTTATTGATAATGATTTTTTTTTTTGAATAAAGGCATTGTGGACACATAATTATAAATTAAAGAAATGCATATGTATTATTTTTTGTTGTAACTACTAAATTATTATTTATATAATTTAATAAGAGTAAAATAGAGTACTAATTATGCCAACTTTGATTGGGATGAGATTCGAACCTAAGACCTTTTTCTATTGAAATCAATGAGTAAGTTAACGGTGAACTAACGACAATTCTTAAAATTTTAACGGAATTAGTAACGGTGTGTGGGTATTTTAGAAAATTTTAGTGTAAAATTTAAATCTGATCAATCTTTCAATCAATCTGAGCCATTCATTTGATTAAAATCTGTGACCGCCATTTTTTCTACCTATTATAGGCCTAACTCTCTTGGGCTCTTATTAGTATAGTAGATATATATATATATATATATATATATATATATATATATATATATATATATATATATATATATATATATATATATATATATATATATATAATATATATATATATATATATATATATATATATATATATATATATATATATAAGATTGGTAGGGGTGTTGTGCTGTGATTTGTCTATTATTTATTTTTATTGCTTGCTGGTGTTGAAGGTGATGAAATAGTGTAAAAAACAAAATACTAGTTACTCAAGATAATCAAGTTACTCCGACTGCAAAAAAAAAAAAAAAAAAAAAAAAAAATCATCAACTGAAGATAATAAAGATGCTAGGTACTGAGGTCTACAGTGTTGAGGGTAGGATGGTAACTAACTCTGGTCTGAGTTTCTTTGCACGGTATAAATATATGAAAATGTGGAGTTTTACACTTACCTACCGAAGGCAATTGGTAGGTGTAGCAACTTAACTAGTGCATTTTTTTGTGTTATTCCAGTGTATATAAAAAAAAAAAAAAGATTATTAGGTGTGTTGTGCTGTGATTTATCTATTATTTATTTTTTATTGTGTGCTGGAGTTGAATGTGATGTATATCTAGCTAGTTATATATGTAGGTTGTGTTTAAACAGTTTATTTACAGTGTCTGCTCATGGCATTATTATATATGTATGTCTAATTTTGGACCTGCAGGGGGATGCACCGCCTAATAATAGTCCACGGGGAGAACCACAGGACACTCGGGTTGGCCAAAGGCCACGGCCGGTTCACCACGGGCTCATTCCTAGGGCTATTACGGTATGGCAGTTTATTTGTGCATTGTAATACTGTTTCATACTGTAACAGTCTGGATTACTTATTAAGTATGCACATCTGTTATGAGTTGCTTCTAGCTGGAGTGCACTTGGGCTGCATTGTCATAAAGTGTTCTGGGATATTATATTTTTCAAAACAGAATGCACCAGATGTATATAGGAAAACATTGCATATGCATGTTCAAAGAAACATCATTACGTGATTGGTATTAATTCAGCATGTTTGAAAACAAAAAAAGGGAAAGCCAAAAGAATAAACAAAAATTATACAGGAGGTTGCCTAAATTTTAGTTTTATTTAATTTTATTCGTCCAGGATATGTGTGGTTCATTTTTTTCTCTGGTTCACTTTTAGGGGGATGCACGGCAAGTACCACAAGCCACTCGAGTTGACCAACGCCCACGCGTTCCTAGAGCCATTACAGTATGCCAAAATTAACTGGTGCATTAGGTTATAAAATGTGCACGAGTGTCCGTAACAAAATTGATTTAACTGCAGGTGGATGCACTGGTCCATGCATCGGCGGCACGTTCTAGGAACCCCCCTGCACGAGTAGGAGATAGGGCTGCACGCACGGTGCACAACGCCACCACTCCAAGTTCTACCGGGGTATGCATCACCAACTCCGATGCACTAGTTTTGAACGGGTATGCATCGATTGACTTTGCTATATTTTTTCTTTTTTAACCAACCGCTTGCCTGTAGGGGTTCCACCATGAATTCGCAGCTATGACTAAGGACCTGCTCGTGATAGGCACACGGGTTGCAGAAACAATAAGAAAAAACCAAACACTAGCTTATGAGGACCGAAATTTCCAGAGGGTTGGC